AGTGAAATATATTTATGTTTGTGGTTGTAATGTGACAAAATATGGAAAAGTTCAAGGGGTATGAATACTTTTGCAAACCACTGTATATACCATTCCAACACCAAATCAAGTCACACTGCAGCAGAACATATCAGACTTATGTAGATATGTATGAAGAATGCATATCAGATGCATGAAGCTGTCCTTCTGTTTTCTTCCGCTTATCCGGGGTTGCGTCACGAGGGCAGCAGCCCAAGACCCAGACTACCCTCTCCCCAGCCATTTGGGCCAGCTCATCTGCGGGAATCCCAAGGCTCCCTACAGCATGTCCTGGGGCTTTCTCTGGGTCTTCTCCGAGTGGGACATGTGGGAACACCTCACCAGGGAGGCATCCAGGAGGCATCCTAACCAGATGCCCGAGCCACCTCAACTGGCTCCTCTCGATGTGGAGGAGCAGCGGCTCTACTCTGAGTCCCTCCCGGATGACCGAGCTTCTCACCCTATCTCTAAGGGAGAGCCCTGGCACGCTGCGGAGGAAACTCATTTCGGTCGCATGTATCCGCAATCTCGTTCTTTAGGTCACTACCCAAAGCTTGTGACCATAGATGAGGGTAGGAATGTAAACCGACTGGTAAATCGAGAGCTTCGCCTTGTGGCTCAGCTCTCGCTTCACAACAACAGATCGGTACAGCGCCCGCATCACTGCAGACACAGCACCAATCCGCCTGCCGATCTCCCGCTCTATTCTTCCCTCATTTGTGAACAAGACCCCGAGATACTTGAACTCCTCCACTTGGGACAGGACTTCCTCCCCGACCTGGAGAAGGCACCCTACGGGTTTCCGGCTCAAGACCATGGTCTCGGATTTGAAGGCACTGATCCTCATACCGGCCGCTTCACAGTAGGCTGCAAACCGCTCCAGTTAGAGTGGGAGATCACAATATGATGAAGCCAATAGGACCACATCATCTGCAAAAAGCAGAGATGTGATCCTAAGGTCACCAAAAAGGATCCCCTCAACACCTTGGCTGCGCCTAGAAATTCTGTCCATAAAAGTTATAAACAGAATCAGTGACAAAGGGCAACCTTGGCAGAGTCCAACTCTCACCGGAAACGAGTCTGACTTACTACCGGCAATGCAGACCAAGCTCTGGCACTGGTCGTACAAGGACCTAACAGCCAGTCGAATGCATTCTCCAAGTCCACAAAACATGTAGACTAGTTGGGCGAACTCTCATGCACCCTCCAGGACCCTGCTGAGGGTGTAGAGCTGGTCCGCTGTTCCACGACCAGGACGAAAACCACACTGCTCTTCTTTAATCCGAGATTTGACTATTTGATGGACCCTCCTCTCCAGGACCCTTGAATAGACCTTACCAGGGAGGCTCAGAAGTGTGATCCCCTATAGTTGGAACACACTCTGCGGTCCCCCTTTTTAAATGGGGTACCACCACTGTGGCCCGCCAATCCAGGGGAACTGCCCCCAATGTCCACGTGATGTTGTAGAGTCGTGTCAACCAATGCAACCCTACAACATGCATGAAGATGATTTGGCAGAAATACAGTATATACTGTATACAGCTGGAAGAGGTAGCCTAGTACATCTCAAGTTTAATTTCAGTACATTATACTCATTATGGTCTTTAGAACAATGTATTTTGGGGAGGGGGTTGTGCACTATAGACCCCTTTGGCACAGCCTAAGGTCTTTATTTTTAATGGCTTTCCCCCTTACATTACTTTACTTTTATACTTTAAGTATTTTTTACACTTTTACTTGAGTAAAAAGCTTGAGTTGATACTCCTGAAAAAAGTATGTTATAACTCTATTATCTACTTCCATACTTCAAGTAATAAATGTGAATACTTTTGACATCTCTGCACTAAGCAACATTTGTCTGGCCCAGTTCAAACCCACACAGTGCCCTCTTAACATGCAGCCCAGATACCAATATGAATGATGATCCTTTGGTGTCTCAGATGTGGTCCATAAACCAATCCACAACTAGTTTGCCAACTGAAAAACAGAGCCATCATTGTAGACCTGGCCCACATGTGGATTAGGTCCACAGTATGTATAAAACTGAAACTTTAATAAAAACTAAAATAGGCAATTGTTTGTGGTCAGCCAATGTTTCAGTGTATGCACATAAAGAAACCAACGATAACAGAAAAGAACAAGTAAATCAGGCAAGAAAATCAATTTATTTCACAAAAAGTAAGGTTGGTCAAAAAAGGGTGTCTTTCAAGCCCTCCTTAGTCTAACACCATTAACTGCTTCCTCTACTATGACCAATCACAGCAAGGCCATCACTGATCCTCCAACCAATGCAAAAGTCTACAAGGACAGCTGGGAGTTTGACCTGTATGTGAACGAACTGAACAGCGCCATAAGCAGTGAGATTTTCAAACATCCAAGCTGGATCCAATTTTATTACAACTGGGCAGGCTTTAAAAACTACAACCTGGTGGTGCGGGTAAATATAACTGTTTCTGTCACAAAAACTGTTGCCTCTTACTTGGTTGAACTTCTTTCTTCTGCTCTATTTACTTTACTCTTGCATTTTTTTATTCTGATGAAAAGTTGTGTTATAGTTTCTCACTGATTTTTTTTTTCTTTTTGGCTTGGGATTTATATCGTGTAACAACCTGAGCATACAAAAGGACACTAGTGTTTACCCAGGAACCGATCACCCTGGAAGTGCTAGCTACTGTTACTCCACATACACAATGAAGGCAAATACAATAGTTCCTTTGAATAATGACTCAATTAATATATTTAAAAAATTTCACAGATTGGTTGTGTGGTTTTAATCTGTCAGGATTATTGCGAATATAGGCTATTACTCACCAGTACTCCATACCCGCACTTCTCACTTTGCATCTTTAACCACTTTGCATAAACCTGCCAGTACTCAGTGTTATCTACTGTCATCTACAGCCAATACTTGTAAACTACATTACCCACGACATAATGGATTAGGGATTAGCACTGTTGCCTCACAGCAAGAAGAGCCTGGGTTCCCAGCTTGGACCTGTGCTCTTTCTGTGTGGAGTTTTAATGTTCTCCTTATGTAATTTCCCTTTAGACCAATAAAGTATTTTTGAATTTGAATTGTATTTGAACTATGTGTTTCCTCCTGCTACTCCAGTTTTCTTCCCACAGCTCAAAACAGGATTGAACTTTTAATTTAACCAGGCAAATCCCATTGAGGTCACAGATCTCTTTTACAAGGGAGGCCTGGGAAAAACAGTTCAGCATTAATTTGTCATCAGATGTCAACAAACTGGAGTATACAGAGAAGTTCAGATGCTGACCTTTTGTCTGCAGTTAGTCACAATGCAGTTGCCACTCCTTTGTAGTTTTAGTACATTGCTCACATTTTTGATTAGCAGAAACTAGTTTTAAAATTATTTCAGATATGTTTGACGTGTGGAATAACTTGATGATTTTAAGACAACGCCTGGTTTGTAAGTTTTTAAAGGAGACCAGTTATGGGTCCTAGAAATTTTTATGGTATGTCTGTGGGCTATCCAGACCATGTTCATTCARTTTAATGCACAAAATAATTCTCACATAATAAAATTTCCCATTTTCTAATTCTGCCTGCTCTGACTTCCATTCAGAAGAGCTGTTTATGTTAATGAGCTCTTTTGGTAACGCCCTCCAAAAATCTGTTGACATTGACTCCGCCCCCCAAAAATCTGTTGACATTGACTCCGCCCTCCAAAAATCTGTTGACATTGACTCCGCCCTCAAAAGCCAGTGTTTACGTTAGCATGGCTAATAATAGCAGAAGCTTTGTTGTACAACCATATGAGAGACCCAGAGGCAGCCTCCCTCCTCTGCTCTGCGCTCACTCTGCATGCTGTTACCAGAGCAGGGAGCAGCAGCAGTGAAAATACCTCAGAAACTCGAACAAATAGGCTTTAACAAGGCTTTAAAATAAGCTGAACAATAGAGGTACATGAGAAAATGTGTTCATAACGAACGAAAGAAAAATTAAATAGTATCCATGCCAGTCTCAAACCCTTGTCTCCCCCTCTCTGGTCCAACACTCTACCCATTGCCCTATTGGAGGCTGTTGTGAAATGAGCTGCGCATTGCATAACAACACGGTGACAGCTTTTTATATTGAGGAGGTGGAGTCTCACCTGGGGGTTATTAGGTAAGGGGCTGAATGCAGGTTCCACTGGGTTGTCGTACGGCTTGTGACATCACAAAATAACAGAAGTATAAAACTTGTCGTTAATATACATTAAAAATACATTTACTTACAGTAAATATGCCCCTGGGTGCATTTTTTTGGTCCTTGGAATGTTTTTTTTAAAGAAGTACATACCCAAAGTTGAGTAAAAAAAGCTTTAAAAAATGAATTTTGCATAATAGGTCCCCTTTAAAAATATGCTCAAAATTCCCGTGACACAGATGCACCAGTCTGTGACTCAAGCAAGGAGACTGAGAACCTCTGTTAATGTTTCCTGATGTTTTGCCGACTCCCTTGAAAAAAATTTGTGTAGTATAGCAAATCGTTGTTTTTAGTTGCTTGACTTTGTAATGGACCTATCCCCTAAAAAAATCTCCTGAGATAGATTCTAACTTCCTGAAACAACCCCAAACATGATCAAAATGGAAGAAAAAAAACAAATGATAAAGAGGACAATAAGACTAACACATCCACGTTGTGGGTGCTGAAACTAAATTTCTCAAAGTATTTAATCTCCATCATGTGTGAACATTCCACAAAAAAAGAAAATCATTTCCATGTTAAGCTTTGGTCTTTTGTGCACATGTATCCACATGTTTTTTTTTTAATCTGGTAACCTTGAATTTGTAGGTTTTATAGAATTTTATTTGACTTTCATAGAAAAACTTCAGGTTAATTTCATCATCATTCTGACTTATTTATTTATATTATCAAATTAACTGCAACAATAAAGTCAAATTTAGAGACATACATATGTACAGTATGTAACATTCAGATTTAAGCTCTGCTCTGTTTTCTCATTTGACCTTTCCTTTTCTTCTTGTTGGCTACTTTCACACTACAAAGTCCTTACATTTACCATTTGAATTTGACCAATTCTGTTAGCGGGCATTTCATTTATTTGCATTTTTGACTTCATGTAGGTCATTGAAACAGATGACAACTTTGAACCTCTCAGTGAAGGCTACGACTATCTGGTGGACTTTATGGATCTGTCTTTCCCCACCACACGGCCCAACAGAGAGCACTTCTACGTGGAGGTGAGTCACATCAAATTAATTCTGAGACTGCAAAAAAACGTCCTTCATGTGAACTTATTTAGAATAAAGAAATAAACTGAAATGGATTGGAATGTCTTGAGTCCACTGTAAAGATCTGTATTCAAATCTAAGTCAACAGAGCCAGTTATGGTGTTAAAGAACCTGACACATGCATATCCTTCAAATACAAAAAGTCAAAGGAAACATGTCCTGATGCATCTCAGTAATCCAGGTAGAAAAAAATCAAAAAGAAAGAATGAGTAGGTCCTCTGGATGGGTTCTTCTTTGGTGAAACGTTTCGTCTCTCCTCCAACAGACTTCTTCAGTCTGATGAGTTTCAGGTGAACTCAGCCTTATAAGCCCTGCCTCCACATGGACAAACAGGTTAGTCAAATGCAAAAGAGGGCCATCGCCTAACAATAGGCTTGATTAGCTCTATTTAATCACATGCAAAAGAGGGCCATCGCCTAACAATAGGCTTGATTAGCTCTATTTAGTCACATGCAAAAAGAGGGCTATTGCCTAACAATAGGCTTGATTAACTCTATTGTTCATAGAGGGTTGTGCCGCAAAACCTGACTTATTGGTTTGGATGCTTCGGCTGTGGTTCTTTGGTGTCGTGTTATGTATATGTAGTGAGAGCAAGAGGGACTCGACATCCCCTTGTTTTTGTCCCTCTTTCCCTCTTTGTGTTGGCTATCGTTGGGGCCCTGATTCACACCTTTTGCTCACAGGGGGCTGAGTCATACTTGCAATAACAGCATTGTAGGAGGAGGACAACTGGACACGAAGGCCTCCACCTCTGTTTAATGGTGGACGGTTTTTCTTCACAAAGATGGCTTCCTTTACCCCTCTCTCAAACCAACATTCCTCTCTATCAAGGATGAGAACATCTTCATCCCTGAAAGAGTGACCGCTGGCCTGTAGATGAGTGTAAACTGCAGAGTCCTGGCCCAACGAAGTAGCTCTTCTGTGCTGGCTCATTCTTTTGAACAGTGGCTGTTTTGTTTCCCCCAATGTATAACTGTTCACAGTCCTCGTGACACTTAACAGCATATACTATATTACTCTGTTTTTGCCGGGGATATGGGTCTTTGGGGTGAACTAATCTTTGTYGTAACGCATTTTGGGGTTTGAAAGCCACTGGGACGTCATGTTTAGAGAATAAACATCTCAGTTTCTCTGAAACCCCCGCCACATATGGAATGATGACTAATTTTGGGTCTGTGTTTAGGGTGTCCATTTTCACCTGGTTGTTGGCTGGAATCCTGTTTGAGTTTCTTGTCTGCTTTCAGAAAAGTCCAGTCAGGATAACCGCACTGCTCCAGGGCCTGTCGTGTGTGTGACTTCTCTTTCTCCCTGGCTCCTGTGTTTGCAGGGACACTGTCTGCTCTGTGGTACAGATTCCTGATGACTCCTAACTTGTGTTCCAGTGAGTGATGGGAATCAAAATGCAAATATTGGTCTGTATGGGTGGGTTTGCGATACACGTCAGTTTCCAACCGTCCTCCATTCGAAACTGAGACATCACAGTCCAGGAATGCCAACTTGCCATCTTTCACATCCTCTCGTGTGAACTTTATATATTTATCCACAGAGTTGCTGTGATCAGTGAAATGTTGGACTTCCTTAAATTAAATCCCAGGAAGTCCAACATTTCACTGATCACATCAACCCTGTGGATAAATATATAAAGTTCACACGAGAGGATGTGAAAGATGGCAGGTTGGTGTTCCTGGACTGATGTCTCAGTTTTGGATGGAGGACAGTTAGAAACTGACATGTATCGCAAACCCACCCATACAGACCAGTATTTGCGGTTTGATTCCCATCACCCACTGGAACACAAGTTAGGAGTGATGAGGACTCTGTACCACAGAGCAGACAGTGTCTCCACAAACACAGGAGCCAGGGAGAAAGAGAAATCGCACACAAGACAGGCCATGGAGCAGTGTGGTTATCCTGACTGGACTTTCCTGAAAGCAGACAGGAAACACAGACAGGATTCCAGCCAACAACCAGGTGAAAATGAAGACCCTAAACCCAGACCCAAAACAGTCCTCATTCCATATGTGGCGGGGGTTTCAGAGAAACTGAGATGTTTATTCTCTAAACATGACGTCCCAGTGGCTTTCAAACCCCAAAATGCGTTACAACAAAGATTAGTTCACCCCAAAGACCCATATCCCCGGCAAAAACAGAGTAATATAGTATATGCTGTTAAGTGTCACGAGGACTGTGAACAGTTATACATTGGGGGAAACAAAACAGCCACTGTTCAAAAGAATGAGCCAGCACAGAAGAGCTACTTCGTCAGGTCAGGACTCTGCAGTTTGCACTCATCTACAGGCCAGCGGTCACTCTTTCAGGGATGAAGATGTTCTCATCCTTGATAGAGAGGAATGTTGGTTTGAGAGAGGAGTAAAAGAAGCCATCTTTGTGAAGAAAAACCGTCCACCATTAAACAGAGGTGGAGGTCTTCGTGTCCAGTTGTCCTCCTCCTACAACGCTGTTATTGCAAGTATGACTCAGCCCCCTGTGAGCAAAAGGTGTGAATCAGGGCCCCAACGATAACCAACACAAAGAGGGAAAGAGATACAAAAACAAGGGGACTTTGAGCCCCGCCTGCACTCACTACATACACATAATACGTCACCACCACAGCCGAAGCATCCAAACCAATAAGTCAAGTGATGGGGCACATGACCCTCTATGAACAATAGAGCTAATCAAGCCTATTGTTAGGCAATGGTCCTCTTTTGCATGTGACTAAATAGAGCTAATCAAGCCTATTGTTAGGCAATGGTCCTCTTTTGCATGTGACTAACCTGTTTGTCCATGTGGAGGCAGTGCTTATAAGGCTGAGTTCACCTGAAACGCATCAGACTGAAGAAGTCTCTTGGAGGAGAGACAAAACGTTTCACTTAAGAAGTACCCATCCAGAGAATCCACACAAAATTATGTCACTAATCACACAGTGGCAAGTATTAATCTGTGCCAGATTTTCTTACAATTAACAGCACATAATATGATTAGGCTCAACCTCATTTCCAAGTAATCTGGAATCTGTCAAATGAAAGAATGAGAGAGTATTCACAAGTGGAAAACATTTAAAACAGCTGCTAGTCCTCCTTGACATGGACATTCCAGCAAATTCACCCTGACATCAGACTGTGCAATGGTCAGAGAAATGAAAAAAGCTTCATCACTAAAGACCTCAGTTAGCAGGTTAAAGACAGGTCAAGATAGGACAATTAAAAAAACAAAACAAACAGAACAAGTATATCTAATTTGGAAAGGCTGCAAGCAAAACCCGAACTGCACTATCCGGCAGGGGGACAAACAATAGAAATAAACTTTTAACTGCAGTTGGATGCATTTACAATTTAATTTATTAATTTCTGAAAAGTGAAACTTGGACAAATCAGACCAAAATGGACAAACACCTCAAATTTCACAGTGAGCGCCGTGGTGGAGGTTTGATGATGTAAGCTTGTTTTGAGCACCTTGCAGTCATCGAGTTGACCAGGAACTCAGACAGAAATCAAACGTGAGGCCAACGGTCTGACAGCTGAAGCTGAGACCAAACTGGGTCGTGATGCAGCAGGACATGATGCATGCAGCTAACTCCACAACAGGATGGCTGATAAAGTAWAGAATTAAGGCGCAGCAATATCCCAGTCAAAGTCCAGACCTCAGCCTGATTGGAATGCTGTCGTCTGGACTTTGAAAGTGCTTAGTAGAAACCAATGTCTGCAAACCCTGATGAACTGAGGCAATACTGAAAAGAAGAGCGGGGCTAAATGACTCCATAATCATATGAACAACATGCAAAGTTTTTCAACCACTACTGAGAGTTTTATTACGTATCTGCTAAAAGATGTTCATCAAGCTGTTGGATGCAGTTTTGCACATACAGCTTTTTCATTTTGACTTCATTTTTTTTTATTAATTGATACCATGATGGAATCAGTTTTGTACACTTGTGGTTCAATCTGAATTAATGTAGAATATCATAAAGACAAAATCATTTTTGTCACGATCTGACATGTAAAATCCCCTAGAACTGAAATGTCAATTTAAATGTTTACATGTCAATCGTATCAACATGTGAATCTTTCTTCCTGAAGTTGTTCTGCTATTTTCTGTAAGATTAAAAACAGGGTGGGGGTAATGAGGTACGTGGTGCTGCGCGGCTGCCTCTGGGATGATCTCTACATCGGCTTTCAGAATCGCATCAGTCGAGATCCAGACATCTACCACCACAAGTACACACAAACCCACATTTTCTGAGATAATATTTCTAGTAAATTCTATTCTAAATTCTAAAATTCTAGATAAATTATCTTCCTTATTGACTGGGTGTCCCTAAAACTTTAATCAATAATGTCAAAATGTTTTGCAAATGCTGTAATAATTAAAGTAACATTTTTTTTCTCCAGGTTCTGGAACCACTTTCAGACACAGCTACCAATACATAGTCCAGACTGGGACCAATTTCTGCAGCAGGCACCTCCAGTCCAGGAAGCAAATGGGATACAGAGGGCACTGGGCTACTGTGCTCTGCTTTAAATTTAGAAATGTGGATTCACGAGGTTCTGTGATCAGCTTGTAAACAGTTCAGGGAGTACTTTGGACAGCTATGCTGAGTGGTTAGAGCTTCAATGAGAGAGTTGGAGGTTTGTGTCTCTGGGCAAGACACTGAGCCCTTCATTAGCTTTGATGTGTGTCTGATCGGTTTATCAATGAGGTTAAAAACACTGATTTGTTTCTGTAGAATGAATTATTTAGATTAACTTTGTAAAGATGATAAATGGGTAGTGTTGTAAAGTGTTTTAAGTATCCTGATTGGATAGAAAGGTGCTACAGTTTTATGTTTACTTGCCTCTTGTACTCTGCTGAAGATAGGCACTAGGGTCTCCCCGTGATCCTACATGTAAAAGCAGGCAAAGCAAACACAAATCATTTAGATCTCAAATTTGCACTAGCATAATGATTTGTAGTCTTTATAGCCCATAGACATGAGGTCAGCCTTGGTGCATGCAGGCTCCACATGATGGTTACGCTTCAACCACTCTCCATGTTCCACCCAGGAGCCTCATACAGTCATACGCCCTGAACCTTTCCACATTTTGTCACTTTACAAGCACAAACTTCAAAGTATTTTACTTGTCATTTACGTAATAGACAAACACATAGTCTGTATGGAAGTAGAAGGAAAATCAAGCAGTGTATGGTTTTCAACATGTTTTACAAACAAAAATCTGCAGTGTGGTGTGCATTTGTATTCAGCTCCCCTGAGTCAGTTCTTAGAACCACCTCACTGCAATTCCAGCTACAAGTCTTTTGGTGTTTGTCTCTATTAGATTTGAATGTTTACAGATGGAAAGTTTTGCTCATTATTCTTTACAGACTAGCACAAACTCGTAGACTGGATGCAGTGTCTTTGAAGAAATTACACGTCTCAGTTTCTAAACATGATGTCCCAGTGTCTTTCAAACCCCAAAACACATTACGGCAAAGGCTGGTTCACCCCAAAGATCCGGTGCCCCGACACAAACAGAGCAATGTTGTATATGCTGTTAAGTGCCAGGAGGACTGCGACCAGTTATACATCGGGGAAACAAAGCAACCACTGTTCAAAAGAATGTCCCAACACAGACGAGCTACGTCTAATGGCCAGAACTCTGCAGTTTTCACTCATTTACAGGCCAGCGGTCACTCTTTCAGAGATGAGGATGTTCTCATTCTTGATAGAGAGGAACGTTGGTTTGAGAGAGGAGTAAAAGAAGCCATTTTTGTGAAGAAAGACCGTCCATCATTAAACAGAGGTGGAGGCCTCCGTTTTCAGTTGTCCCCCTCCTACAGCGCGGCTATTGCCAGTATCACTCCACCCCCTGTTAACAATAAGTGTTAATTAGGTGTCAACGATAGCCATGTCATGTGAGTATCAGTCACACGGTGGCAGTGCTTAAAAGCCTGAATTTTGCCTGAAACTCTCAGACTGAAGAAGTCTCTTGGAGGAGAGACGAAACGTTTCATTAGAGAAGAACCCGTCCAGAAGACCTATACAATTTTTTTCTTTTTGATTTTTTACCTGGATTACTGAGATGCATCAGGACATTTTCCTTGTGTTAACGTGTGTTTTCTCCGGGTACTCCAGTTTCCGCCCACAATCCAAAAACATGCCTGTTTAGAGTAACTTTAGGGACACGTCTCCCTTGGAAAAGAGATATGTGGTTCCAATAGAATTTGCCTGGTGAAATAAAGATAAAGATGGCTCAGTTGGCATCAGCAAGAAGGTCTCTGGTTCAAATCCCAGCCCGGGGACCTTTCTGCGTATAGCATGCGTGGGTTCAATCCTGGTACTCCGGCTTCTTCCCGCACACCAAAAACATGACTATTAGGTTCACTCTAAATTTTCCCCAGGTGAGAGTGAATGGTTGTCTGTCTTGTGTGGCCCTGTGATGGACTTGTGAGTGTTCGCTGCCCCTCGCACTGTGACTGCAGGATATGGGCACCAGTGACACCCGTGACCCTGAAGGAATAAGCGGGTATAGATAATGGATGGATGGAAATAAAGATATACAAATTGACTTCTTTTTAAAGTTTGTGGTTATAATGTGACAAAATGTAGAACAGCTTAACTGGTTTAGATGGTGTACAATACTTTTACAATCACAGTGATAAACCACCACATTTGTGCCTTGGAAATTTAGTGCCTACTCAGCACTATGTATCACACACCACATGCATCATGGGGAGACCACTGTGCTTTTTTCACATGCACCTAAATACCTCACACTATAAAGACCATCTGTTTTGACTGAATATTTACATCATAATGAGGTTATAAGTTATAATCAAGAGAATATTTACTTTTAGAGTGAAACTAATGAGAAATCTCAAAACTATGGTCTTTATGAGTTTACTGTGTGCCATCAAAAAAGCACATTAATTGAATGTTTAATAATCACCTGATTATAAAAATTTTGCACATCACTAATTTTTTTTGAAGTACACGTTGATAAGCATTTTTAAAAGCTCAGCGTTTTAAGCTCTTTATAACTGCTCTTACTTTATGGTTCTTTGACGTAAGTGATTTTCTCAACATGCTTTATTATGGTCTTGTTATAAGGGAGTTGCACTACTATGTATATATTTATTAATACTTTGAAGGGGAAGTAGTAACTAAGGAGAAAATACATAATTTGTATTTGCAATCCAGCTCAACGAGAGCTTCCAATTTCTTTTGTGTTTAAACAGCAACTTGGGAATTAGCATTTTGTAATAATGTTCAAGTAATCAACTGTTGGAGTAAAATTTGAATGTTTCTGGAAAAGACCTCCCAGTGATAATGGTACTGAAAATGGTCATTTGTTGAATTTTCAGCAGTAGTTCATTTTCACTGAAATCAAAGTTGTTTCAATTAAAAAAACTGAACAGATCGAGTTACATTTTAACATAAGATCCATCGAACTGCTGAGTTTTTGGAGAGTTTCTGCTTGACTTTCTTTTGCTGAGTGTGAATAGCTAATCAGAGCTGTTGGTATTAGAACTGTCTTCAACCCTTCAGACCTTTTGCTCCAAAGTTTCTCAATAAGGTTTGAGATCAGGTGAGGATGGGGGCCCGCACCAGGAGTTTCTCTCCTTTCATGCCCGGAGCAGCCAACGATGCAGATGTATTTCTTACAACATGAAATGGTGCATTGTAATGTATGAAGATGATTTTAGTCCATGTTTTTCTGGGCCCACTGCAGCTGTTTCTGTTCAAAACACAAATTCTACGTATCCAGGAAGGGTGGTCTCTTCCAAGAATTGGGCTGGAAATTTAAGACCACCCAATACACACTTATGAAATCTGTTTGTGGACTGTTTGATGATGTCAACTTTTCCAGAATATTCTTACCAGATGTTTATGCGACCCTTGCTCTAACCTTTTGCCCCAGCTTATAACAAACATGCTAGTCCTCAACAATGTTTGTGGGACTCTAGAGGGACCAGCAGCCTTAAATATCTCTTTGCTGCTTTCTAATGGCATTTTAGCAGGTTCCCTCCTAATCTGATGGATTTGTCTGGCAGAACCTGTGAGGGCTCTGAATCAGCCACAAATCTTGAAACAGTACAATGAACAAATTTAAGTTTTCATGAAATATCTAAGGTGTCCAAGAAATTCAACTATTCCATGCTTAATAACGTGGATCATTGTTTTTCTGTAGTTTTTTCCTTTTATTGGGCTCATCTGTCAAACTAATAATCACAAGTGTCTGAGATTAACATTTATTATCTGGTGATAAGAGCCATGAGATAACTTATCAACCATGAGTTTAATTGAAAAACAAAATATTTAACCTTTATGACACTTAAATATGGTTTGTATAATAATTTGGAACATGGTGTAAAGGCACAAATAGTCAGGATAGTAACTCCACTACGAGTCAGTTATGTGTGTAGCTCCAGTGAAATGTTCAGAATTGTTTCACCTGTTTTATGATGTACTTTGACGTGGTTTACTATGTGAAGCACAGCACATTCAGTCCATATTCTGATCTCAAGTCAAACTGTCTTTTTCACTGAAAAAAAATCTCTGACAGATGGCTGCCTTTATGTGACCACTAAGATAAGTGATTGTATAAATCTTGTACTCAGTATCTTTACTGTAAACATTCTTCTAACTTTGGCGATGGGAATTGTTTCAGCCTTGTGGGATTTTTCTTTCACATTATCAAAAATAAACACTTGAAAATCACCAAGTTTTTTATTTTTATTTTTTTAGCACAACTATTAAATATCTGGTTCAAACAATGTCCTGCAATCTTAACTGAGCAACTTATCAAAGCAGATAAAAAGAGTTCACCCGTTTTAGGGTCACATGTAGGAGGATGTGATAAAACCGATCTGGTCTTGCCAAGATCTTTGAACCTCATGTTCTAAAGGACGCCACATGTTGCCGTGTTTTAGACAAAAACAAAGCAGCTGTGTGTGGTGTAGTATCTGGAACAGGATGACACAAAACTGTAATCAGATGGAAGTCTGGACTGAAAAGATGTACAGTATTTGTAATCTGGACCAGGATGCGAAGCGTGACTACAGTATGTAAGGTGCAGATCCTCGTTTAGGTTTCCTCATTAGGAAATGGAATAATGATGCTGAAGCCCTTATGTTTTGAGAATAATTCTATTAGAAAATGGTATATTTGGGTGTTGTCCAGTTGTACAAGCTTTACAGTCCAGGAGGCTCAATAAGGAAATTACATTTAAATTGTTTACACCCAGTACAACTGTATTCTTGGGTGGGACCAATGTTCATAAATAGAGTCTCACAGTCAGTTCTGGGGAGTCCTTCACTGAACTGACCACAATGCTCACGATTTGGCCCATAGGCTCTGTATTTGAATAAAGCTTCACTGAAACTGACAGGCCTGCAGAGTTTCTTTTGACCACCACAACATCGCAGAGATTCAACCCCAGAAGACCATCACTCCATCCACTTACAAGACACAACAGTGGAAAAATTGACTCCAGCAACTTACTAGCAGTTTGACTTCTAGATAACTCAGTAGTTCAGTTCAGGGCTAGTCAACTAAATTACTCAGGGGCCATAGTTACTCAAAGTGGCCCGATATGTAAAAGAACAATTTTTTAAACCTTTTAAATCTGTTTATTTGTGCTGCATTGAATCTAAAATAGAAAAATTAAAACCTATTTTTATATTAAAT